GTCGATGCAACCCAATCCTGAAGCAACATTTTGCATTTCGAGGGGAGAATCGCATCCCGAACATGCTTGCATTGTTGCTTAGAGTGGTCAGAAGACTCTGCATTTTGTCAGCGTCTTCACCAAATAAAACTATGTCATCAGCATATTCTAAGTCAACAAGTGAACCTCCCGGTAGAAGTTCAACCCCTGGAAATTTAGATGAGGAGAGTGTTATCTCTAAAAGTACGTCGACCACAAAGTTGAACAAGAATGGGGAGAGTGGACAGCCCTGACGAACACCACTTGAGGTAATCAATTCTGATGACAGTTCGCCATAAGCTCTCACTCTACCAGTTGTGTTCGAGTAGAGAGCCTTTATAAGGTTAATGTACTTCTTTGGTACTCCTTTCAGTGACAAACACTGCCATAGAACCTCACGATCAACAGAGTCGAATGCCGCCTTAAGGTCGAGAAATACTACCATTGTGGGGCGTCTGAATGTGTGTCTGTGTTCTAGAACCTGACGTAGTGTGAATATCTGATCTATACAACCACGTCCAGGTCGAAAACCGGCCTGGTTTTCTCTAATCTGCTCTTCACGAGCTTTGATTAGGCGTCGAAGTATTATTGAAGCTAATATTTTAGACACTATATTAGTCAAACTGATTCCTCTGTGATTGTCACAAGAGGACTTTTGTCCTTTCTTATAGACTGGCACAATCAGTGATTGAGACCAGTCAGATGGGATTACGTCCAGTTCCCAAATTCTACCTAAGACCTCAGTTAATCTCACTGCTAATACTGGACCACCATCCTTAAAAATCTCAGGAGTAAACCTGTCAGGGCCTGCTGCTCTCCCTCGTTTCAGATTTCCTATGGCTTTTTCAACTTCGTAAAGAGACGGAGGACCTACATTAACTTGCCATTCAGGTTGACTAGAGATCGTGGGAAACCGAAGTGTGGCTGAAGGCCAGTTGAACTGATCCCTAAAGTGTTCTGCCCATCGATCCAATCTCCTGGATTGAGCGTGACCGCAGTGCCCAAGGGACAACTGCTTGAGGCCGGTCGCGCACGGCCTTTTCGTGGAAGGTTTTTAACGTGTTAGCTCCGTTTTTCAAAGGGCCTTACCGCCGGAGACGGAAATCCGTGAGGTAAGGTGAGGTGTGCATTTTTAGGGTCGACCTTTTCTAACCCCACCCCTCCTTGTGGGAAGGCAGCATCGCTGTCATACTGGTTGTCTGAGGGAAACACCTTACTGCTGTCACACCCCTCTACAGTCAACAGTACGACTTCGCCCTCAGACCTTGAGTTGCTGCTTTTAGTCTTACCGTTCTCCAATCGACCTGCCTGGCATGTTAGAACCTGCAGGAACATATGTTCCAGCCAATATAGCTCGGTTGGGTCATCACGATAGGCAAGCCCGACCACCGCGTCAAGGTAGCAGCTTCGGTCGGGATTAAGCTATTAAAAACATCAATAATCTCCCCTATACATGATTCATTCACTTCCCATTCATACCTCCGTATTACGTCTTACTTAATTGATCGAATTGTAATTGCACTATTATTTCTCTCTCACCCTATATGACCCATATTTATTCTGAACATGGATCTTAAAATTTCACTTGACATATACGCAGATTCAAGTTAACATTCTATATGGGTCATATTAACATTAATAATTTTATTGTATTTTGTTTATCACAATCCTAAATTCACGTGGTTTAAACGATGTACTTTACCCTTAACCTGGCCAATTTTTTGGATTATTCATTTGGATATATAATCGTAGAACCTGAAGGGAATTTATCGAAAAGAATATTCTTCGTTCAAATACTAGTCTTTTAATATTACAAATATATTAATTTTTATCAGAAGGGGTTTGTGGAGATTTTAGAAATTTCACAGATTGAAATCATGAGTCAGCTGAAGCTAGACCACCATGGGAAACCTGGAAGCATTGGATGGCCGTTTCGTCCTAGTATGAGACTCCTCAGGAGTGTGCATCCACGATCCGGCACCCCGCGCAACTTCGTGGATTGGTTGAAGTTAGACATTCACACCACTGGATACCGGCTCAGTGGTCTAGTTAGTTAAGCGCCTGGCGCGAGACTGATAGTTCCTGGGTTCGAATCCCGCGGGGTGTGGGATCGTGCATGCGCACTGCTGAGGGGTCCCACACTAGGGCGAAACGGCCGTCCAGTGCTTCCAGGTTTTCCTTGGTGGTCTAGCTTCAGTTGACTCATGATTTCAATCTGTGAAATTTTTAAAATCTTCACAAACCCCTTCTGATAATAATCATCTGCTCACTAGTGACTGACTTCAAGAGATACTCCTGGAGTTCTAGTGAGAAGCCGTTACCAGTGGAGTTCAACCAGGTCTGTTATGAGATGGTGTACGGTGACGCAACTTCGTAAATATATTAATTTATTTATAAATGTAGATTGTGAAATCATAGTAAAAAGAATGATTAAATGGAATAAAATTATTAACATTACAGTTTGTTCAATTTCTTATTTACTAATATTAACTTATAGTGTTTGTTATTGAAACTATGTAATTTATTCACTTTTCTATATAAGGTTAAATAATACTTTCTATATGTATTCCAAATATTTATATGAAAAGAAAAGTATTTTGAAAAGAATAGTTAATTTCTATGTTGTAGTGGTCATTTTTGATGATCGTTTCTTAACTTAGTCATTCAACTGAATGACTAAGTTGATAGTATATGTTGAATTGTATGAACATAGTTGGTCAGTTTAGATTTTGTTCTAGTTTTATGGATCAATGAGAAGTTTCTCTGAATATGATAAAAAGGATATTCATTTTAAATTAAAATGTGATTCCTTCATTGTCAACGTTAAAGAATATACCACTCTACTCTGCCCATGATTTACCTACTTACGTATGCCTGTTACTCCCAGTGGAGCATAGGCCACCAACCAGCATTCTCCAACACACTCTGTCGTGGAATTTCCTTTCTAGTTCTATCCTATTGTTGTCCATTCTTCTCATGTCTGCCTCCATTTCTCGGCTTAATGTGTTCTTTGGTCTTCCTCTCCTCCTTTGGCCTTGGGGATTCCATGTGAGGGCTTGTCTTGTGACGCAGTTGGGTGCTTTCCTCAATGTGTGTCCTATCCACTTCCAGCGCTTCTTCCTGATTTCTTCCTCCGCTGCAATCTGGTTTATTCTTTCCCATAATAGATTGTTGTTATTAGTGTCTGACCAACAAATCCGAAGTGTTTTGCGTAGACAATTGTTAATAAACACTTGTATCTTCTGGATGATGGATTTCGTAGTACTCCAGGTTTCCGCCCAATACGGTAGAACTGTCTTGACATTTGTATTGAAAATTCTGACTTTGGTGTTGGTTGACAGATGTTTTGAGTTCCAAATGTTCTTCGGTTGTAAATATGGTATTCTTGCCTTGCCGATCCGTGCCTTCACTTCTGCATCAGATCCACCGTGTTCATCACTGATGCTGCCCAGATATGTAATTATTTTTACACCATCCAAAGCCGAGTTCCCTGATTTACTTTTATAATACTAATATATTTATAGTGTGAAGCTTGAAATTCATTTTCCGGTAAATTTAGATCCAAGTGATGCAGAATTAAAGTGTCTATCTTCTAATGACAGCATTTGATAATTCGAGCTGGTAGAATGCTCAACTTTCTTACACTTAAACTTTTTTTCTAACTAGTAAGAAAATGCTCCAAACTTTAAGAATGATTTGGGCATTAAATTTTTCATGTCTTTCATACATGAAGTAGCCAAGAAATGATAATAACTAGTTATATAAATACATAGGAATTCTACGTAAAGAACATATCCCGTACTATAGTTAAAATCATTTCATGACGTACAAAAGTAGTTACTTTGGTGGAGTTTTGTTTTTTGAGCTGGATTGTTTGGTTATGGAGCTTTCATCGTCCTTGTGAATGATGAAAACTTTACGACCAAACCATCCAGCTTAAAAAACAAAGCTCCATCAAAATCATTCATCTGCAAAAAACACAAAAGTAATAATATTCCGTTTCACGAAAGTATCTCAAGCAACATAATAGGGCCTGAGTGTAGGCCATATTTGTTTTAGATTATGTCAGACTAGAAGCCATTGACCTGGAGTAGAAACTTATACTAACCAGAACTATATATATAGTCTTTATGTACTAAAAAACCACCACGTCAAGAAGTGCCACAAACATCACTTCAGTGTAATGATTACTTAACGAATCAAAGGAAATGTAAGGCACATTACGACCCATTTATAGTAAAGTTATATGCGCTAATTTCTTGTAGTTTAGACTAGGGAAAAAAGAACATCTAACAAATGCCATCACATATTATTTAGGAGTTGAAAAAGTGTGATCTTATTGCTAGATTTTCCCTAGATAATTTGAAAATCTTTCGAAACTTTTGTACCAAGTGACAAATAATGTTGAGTATTTGCAGAATTCTGTGTTAAATAATCAATCTTAGTTTGCAATAATTTTATGAATTAAAAGAAATATTGCATAGCATAGCGAAGGCCTGAAATAACTCATTAACATACAGATATATGTGACACTATGATTTATTATCACTGGAGAGGATGACACAATCTTTGGGGGTACCTGATATTATTCTCGTACTGGTTTGTGGTAATTGGTACAGTCAAACAGAAGGAATATTTTTATTTTTTGACTGTAGAGACTTTCATTTTTTTTTAAGAAGAAACGGTTGCATTTACCGTAAGACTAGCAATATTTTACTAGTTTTTTGTTAGCATAACTTGACATCACGGTTGAAAACCTTCCAATATTCTATGAGATAACATAACCAGTATGCCGCCGTTGAGTTAACATTAAGACTCTCAATGATTATAAAATGATGACTGTTTTATGCAATCTTTTATCAATGTCAAAACAGATTTATGGCTATTTATAAACGTTCATAAAATATAAAAATACAAACCTTAGCGCTAAATGTTTAAAATTCTAATACAGATTATAGAATGGTAGCTTATTTTTCACTGACCTGTTTCATCCTTTTAATATCAGTAATAGACAATTTTTCAATTTGAGGATTCCTAACATTATATTGCCATTTAATTGGTTCAGGATTAAGGCAAATAACACCAGCTTCCTCTCGTTTTAAACAATCATGTTCTGTCCAATAAACACATTCATTTAAATAGGATTCAGTTCCTTTACAATAGACATCATCCAGTAAGTAATCATCTGACAAGTGAAATAAGAAATATCAGATCATATGTAGATAGATATGAAAAGCGATATAATAGATATTTTCAAGGTCAAAAAATAATAATCCTAAGTAAGCGAAAGTGAATTCAAAGGAAAAAGTAGTAAAAAATAAACTTTGATCAGTAATAAGTCATTTTCTAAAGTACTTTCATAACACGAGACAGAGTGTGTTCATAAGACAGAACAAAGAATACTGCTATGAAACTAATCGATTTTTAGGTGGTCGGTGTACAACGTTATTTGTCATGTAAGAAATCATTGTCTATGTGTGTAAATGAATGGACTGTATTTATGTATAACTCAAGGATATGGCAAGTGAAGAACCTATTAATCATATTATTTGGAATAGCTTAGATTTTCAGATATCACAAATGATATAGGACTACCGATTAAAGCTGGTATAGGACACTAAGCAACCCAAATATCTATAATATAACTTTGTACTTCGTATAGTATTAAGTTGAAGGTTTTCTATGACCTTTTTCTCCTTATACATTATGAATGGAGATTTATTTACGAAAGATTATATTAGTATAGGTTATTGTGACTACTATTCAATTGTTATAGTTTTACATCAGGGACTGAAGTTAGTTAGACAACCATTGGGTGAGAACTTAGTGGTCTGATGGTTAAGAGCTGGCCGTGAGGTCTGATGGTCCTCGCTCAGACCCCTGATAAGGTGACGGATAGGCACTTGTGGGGAGTTCCATAAAAGGAATACACAGCTATTCAATATCTTCTGTTTTCGGTAACTGCTCAAGATAACTCCACGACGTAAAACCATAAAACAATGTAATAGATAGTTGGTTTATGGAGATCAGACGAACCAGGAGATAAGTTTGGTAAAGATGTTCCGTTGTTTATAGGACCACCGAATGGCAGATATTAGGTGAGAGTTTTCATCACTTCAAAACAACTAAGTTGTATATAATGAATAACCTAATCGAGATCAAATCTAGCAGCTTTTCGTCTCGTAGTGAGCACTATACTCGTGGACCACTAAGTCCAACTGTTTTAAACAGCGAAATTACTAAACATCTGTTGGATGAGTGGCATCAGTTTGATACCGTACAATCTTTCAAGTTGATTAATAAACATCCGAACTGCAGTCTTCTGAAGTTTACTGAAGTCGTTGCTACCAGGAGTCAAAAACCTGTTTACGTGTTCGAAAGGAGATGATTGTTAATGTTCCCTTGGTTTGGTGACAAATATTCCTTTATTACATCATAAAGTCTTTCTCCTAACTAATTACATCATTTTGCCATTTTATGTCGTCTGTCTTCTAGATTAGTAATCTTATTTTAATTAACTGAGCTTTACTCGTCTTATTCTTATTATCAACGTTTACATGTTACGCACTCACTTGTTTCTAGACCATTGGACATTTGCTACTATCAATGTTGTAGAATGTTCTTTTACATAAGGTATACATTTACAATATTTTATTCGATCTATTAAATTTATTTACATCCTTGCTATGCTACACCTATATGCCTTCAAAGTAACTACCGTCTAAACTCTTTCATGTAAGCAATTTAAACCCATTTTATAATTATGATTTTTAAACATCACATGTCATAAGCAGCTGACGAGAACCAAACGAATTAAAATGAATTCATGCTATTCTGCCTAAGTCTTTGTTCTTATTCTCTTCAATAATAAATAATAATGTAATTTGATAAAAGAAAATATCCGATATTGTAAAGAGAAATTAAGTAGCCAGTATGTTTCATTACATTTAACTGAACTAAAGTATGAATTTATTTGTATTTAGACATTTATCTATTGTACAATTAGATATGCAAATGTTAAGCTAATAGAATCACACTGTTTTCATGCTACTTAATAAATGAATATTTCCTATGTTATTTGATTTAATTTACTAAAAAGACTAAATAAAACAGACCTTTAGTTTAAACAATGCTGTAATTTTAAAATTTCCCATAAAAGATTTATTATGGATTAAGCAAAGATGGATAGTGGCTATCAGTGGAATCCGGGATGCCTGTTTTGTTCTATTTGGGAATTGTCAGCTGGATGTACTAGCATCCCTGAGTTGATGTCAACTCCAGGACTCGAACCCAATGCTGTCCTCTTCAAACACTATCGCGTTATCCATTTCGCTACTGAGTCCTGATAGCTACTTGCTTGTGCAATGGGGTGAAGTTTAAATTCACTTGGTGTTGTTTTACTTGTATCTTCCTAGAGTAAACATCAACTCTGGGATACAAGTATATCCAGCTGACAAGTTCCAAATAGAACGAAACGCGCGTCCTGGATTCCACTGCTACCCACTATCCATCTCAGCTTAAAAAGCTTATGACTATATGCTATATCGTGGCGATCCGCAGATGATGCACATATGCCAACAAGAGTCTGATCAATTGCAGTTCTAAATAACAATGGGAAGATACAAGTAAAACAACACCAAGTGAATTTATTTTGGATTATTTTGAAACCAACATTTACACCTTTTTCAAATGATGAATGTACAGAATTCATTGAACAGATATCTTTCTTTAGGAAAATAAACAATCCTATTTGTACAAATCAATCTTTTTACTCACAGCTTCTGTTACGTAAGATCTTTAAACGTATCATTGCTTTGAATATTTTATTCAAGGTCAATTCGTTTAAATTAACCACCTTAAAGAGAATTTATTAGTTGTTTTTATTAATGCTTTTTAGTTAATCATCATTCACAAGTTTCCCTAAAAGTAAAGTTCTCATTAAATATATTATCAATATATATAATCAGTATTCTAAAAATGAAATGGTTATCTACATTTGATGAAGTCTTTGAAATACATTGGTATTGATGACTGAAATTATGGGAAATAACAACTATAATTTTAATCACTGAATTGAATCATTTAGTTTGTGCAAAATCAATATCTGTCTGAGATTAATATGTTAAATGGTCCAACATTTTAGTTATTTCTAGTCAACTATGCTTTCAGAAAAACTATTGGATCTCATTTTCTGGGAACAGTTCAACTTAAGGTATACTCTGAAACCATCCATTTACATACTTTTCTTATTAGATAACTAAATGAAATCATGTAAGTAATTAGGAATTATCTTTGTAAAAGAATCATTTAATCAACATATACTTCAGTAAAGTTTGTATGAAATCTTAAATAAACTTACATTCGCCATTAGAAAAGAAATAATCTCTTGTTGTAGCTTGTAAAGCATATGGAAAGCCTAGAATACGACATATTACATTTGCTTCTTTCAATGTCCAGTTATCGTCGCATATTGTACCCCATTTGCCATGTCGATTAACTAATACAGTACCTTCATTTTTTGATGCACCATCGATTAGCATTAAATTATCAGCAAAACCTTGATTTTTCAGCTTCGTTTGTTTATTTTTACTTTGAATGTATTTAGATGCATTATTATTTAAAGTTCTTTCATTTAATGTATATTCCTTTTCCCCAGGTGAATTCCATATAGCATCATAACCATAAACATCATCCCAACTTCGTAATTTTGTTGAAGATCCGTTGACAGATATAAAATTAGTAAATAAACTTAGTAAGATGATAAGAATTTTTATAAAATTGTCAAGCATTCTATAATTAAAAATTATAGTTCACAAGAATTTAAATATTTTTATTTATAATACTGATCTGTCTTGTTACAATATAGTTTACTGTTTAAAAAATTAACGATAAGAACCAGAGAAATGTTCTTAATATCAAACTTTAGGTAAGCATCTTATCTGTCTGTCTATTTTGCATTTAAACAAAGTATTATTTATACAACATGTAACATCACTATGGTAATATAGATAAGTTAAGTAATTTGCATGTGCAAACAAATAGAGTGTTGATGGTAGCATATTATAAAATATAACGAGTAGTGTAATCTAATAAATGAATAGATCAACTTATTCTTTCATTTATCTCAGCTACCAATCAGGTTACAACGGAACTCCACTCATTAGGTATTGTATGACTGATATATATACTAAGAGAAATACAATCCAGGGTTTCTTTCAATAGGCTACTTCGACATTTCAGGAAGCAATATCAAAAAATTTATGCAATATAGCAAATAAAGTAGTTTTAGTAAGCATATTAAGACTTCAGTGTTGAAATATTTGATCGTTTTCAGCTAGAATCTATACTGGTTACTTTTCAGTTCTTCAGAAAATATAGATAATTGTAAGTTATCCTTGAAACTTAAGGAATAGACTAAAGAAAAAAGACTTATTTTAAGACATGCAAGCATCGTGAAATGATTAATGAGAAAAAATCTGAGTTCATAGAAAAACACGAATTTCATTTCATTATCCTTTAACACAAAATATTCAATATATTTCATTCTCTCTTAAGTTACGAACCTTTTGTTACTCATTAAATTGGTACATTTTTAGGTACTCTTATGATAAATTGTGAAATCCACTATGAGTTGTTCATCCTATTTCTGGCTGATTGACTGGGTTTGATTTCACTCGTGTTGATGTTACATTAAAACCTTGACTCGATGCTCACATTAAAAACACCAAGGCGTTATCTGCTTACTGAGCTACTGAACTACCAAATTATTTAAAGAGTATGGTATTTATAGTACATTGTATGAGTCAATAGTTTATCCTTGTTGATTCTCACTTTTTCGTCAATCACCTTCTACTAGCATATAAGGTCCTTGAAACGATGCCTTAAAATTTTCAAACTTTCTAAATTTGAAAGTTTTTAGGAGCACACTAGGTGCAACATCTTTTAAAAATAACTTTCTAGTGTTTGATGTGAACGTGAACGTCAGCAATGAGATGCAGTACTACTAGTTAAAGGGTTCTCAAACATTAACTTCATTTAGGAATTTAATGTGAAAATATGATCAACTTATGAATTTACTTTGATATGTATTTATGTTATTGTTTCGGTGCACTTTTGTCATTTATTAAAGTGCAGATGTGTAATTAATTCAATCTCGGAAAAAAAACAATAGAATGGTACAAGTCCAAATTTTTACAACCAACTGGAATGCACTTTGTTCTTTAAATATATAGAACATGATGGGTTAGCGGCAAATAAGCTATCTGAAAAAGTTTAAAAGTGTGCGAATTATTTAATGAATATCTTGTTATACGTAAAAGTTTTCTGTGAACGCAATAAGCTAAGAAACTTGAGGTTGTAGTGTAGTGTGACCAAGTTTTAAGTGTCTGAAGTTAACTAACAAATTTTTTTGATTTCGTTTTTATGACTGTTGTAATTTATTATTAGAACGTATTTACAAGTTTAAGAATATTAAGAATTCTTAAATGGTTTAAATCTTTATTTGTCAGCTCAGCGGTTAAAAACTATAGTTGAATCTTATAGACTCTTGTTAAAAAGCACCAAGCTTTTTTCTGACTTTATCCGTCACCTGCCTTCAGTAAAAACTACCAAATTAGGCAGTTGCTGGCCTCGAAATGGTAAGTGTTATAACTTGTGACGTATGTGCCCTGTTTATTGTATAACGTAACGATACCGCCAATTAGAGAGCAGTGAATTATCGATCGGAACAATGACGCATAAAACCCATGCGAACAGTCTAGAGTCCTGATTGCTCCTGCTTTCCGCCTAGCCCAGCCAGTTAAGTCCAGAACACCAATCTCAGCCTCTGCGATATGAATCATTTATTTCAAACATACTGGGTTTATATACCAACCAGACAGATCACATCGTACCATAAAATATGAAACAACATTTGTGCAAGAACTAGTCAAATGTGGCCGTGAATGAGGGAGGTAGTAATTAATTGACAGGGCATAATTCAAGAATGGTAGATCGTATAATAATAGTTCATAGGTCAAAATAAAGCTCATAATAAGAGGGACATGAATATGAACAGTTTAGTTACATAACAATTTTACGATAAAAATATACGCATAGTATCGCTTCATAAATGGGTCCCCAAAGTTACCATTCATTATGCTTATCGAGGCATAACAGTAAGAAGGACAATATTTTCAGTTTTAGGCACCTACATTTGCTGTCTGTTTACAAACTGAGGGTTATGCTTCACGATGATTGATAGGTGTAAGTAGTATGTTATCTGATTAAAATAAGAAATAAGTCGAGGCTTCATTCATAAAAATACATTCATATAAGCTTCGTCAAATACTAAACAGAGAATAACTTCTTGGACAATATAAAGATACAGTAGACTATATGCTTTGAGAATTTCAAACTCATGATGTTAATTAGTTCATCGGTACAATGTCTATCAATCTATCTTCTTTAATTAAGTTAATCAAATCTATAAAGTGATGATAATCTTTATCCTTTGCTGAGACAGCATTTTGTAATCAGCATCCATAAAATTAAACCAGAATATTCTGAGCTTTTATAGAGTGTTTACTTTACACTCATTAGCCGATATTTTATTAAATGGGTAGCCTAGATAATGATATTACGTAGTCTCATACCAATAACTGAAAGTTTCATCCTTTATTATCAATAGCCTAAATTAACTTAATACGAATGTCAAGACAGTCAGTTCTACTGTACGGAGCTGAAACTTGGAGAACTATTAGAACCACCACCAAGAAGGTACAAGTATTTATAAATAGCTGTCTACGCAAGATACTCAACATCCATTGGCCAGATACCATCAGCAACAGCCTTTTGTGGGAGAGAACAGACCAGCTTCCAGCTGAAGAAAAAATTAGGAAAAGATGATGGAAATGGATAGGATATACATTACGTAAATCATCAAACTGCATCACGAGGTAAGCCCTAACTAAGAATCCTGAAGGGAAGCGGAAAAGAGGAAGGCCAAAGAACACATTACGTCAGGAAATAAAAGCTGATATGAAAAGGATGAATTACAACTGGAAGGAGCTAGAAAGGATTGCTTGGAACAGGGTTGGATAGGGAATGTTGGTGAGCGGCCTATGCTCCTTCACGAGGAATAACAGGCGTAAGTAAGTATCTTAATATCGTAAAGTCTATATTTCCCTATACATGGTCAATTTCATTTTAATAACAAATATACAGAATGTAGGTATTAAAGACTTTTGACATTCCGTGAGCAAAATAGCTTATCAAGAATTTGTCATAGCAACAAAAGTTATATCTGTTTGTCATGAAATTTTCATCAATCCTTTTTCATAGAAAGATATGCTTCATTATAAAATTTGGTGAAGTAACGGTGAGGAAACATTAATCAAGTGATGAGAATTTTCATAGTAAAAGCAAGTGATTTACATTTATGTATACATTTGTACTATTATATAATGTCCTCTAATACATCATTTTAAAACGGAATTAAATCAGTAACTTGAGTATTATGGTAATTATTAACATCCATGAATACATACATGCACAGATTCATTAATTCAGACGTGAATAGTTTGGTTAGTAATTACATGCATTTAATTACTAATGTCTGGCAACTAGATATAGTATTTTTTGGAGTAAGTTGTGTTACTGAATTAAGACATCAATAAATTAGGATTATATAGATTTTTTTATGTTCTTTTATAAGTCAGGATAAATTCAATTGAACTTCAGTAAGATTTGTTCTTGATCTAGAGTACTAAATAAGTCAATTTTACTATTCAAAGTTGGATGAACTACTTATTAACACCTAATAATAATAATAATAATAATAATAATAATAATAATAATAATAATAATAATAATAATAATAAATTGTCTTACTTTTGTCCACAATTTGGCATCAAAAAAGCGAATAAATAGTATTTACTACGGATGACCGAACGTTGAAGGAAAATGGTTTAGGATTATAATTTTAACAGTCGAATTCACGAGTCTATCTAATCTAGACCACCGTTGGAAACCTGAAAGCACTGAGAGACCGTTTCGTTCTAGCATGGGGCCCCTCGGCAGTGTGTAGCCACGATCTGGCACGCAGAAGTCGAGCCCAGAACCTTTGGTCTCGCACACCAACGCCTAAAATTTAGACCACTGAGGCAGCATCAAATGGTATTAATGTCTAAACTTTAATAAACCCATGATCTTGCTCAACCCTTCATTCATTGAATGAGGCGGATAACTGTATCGCAATCGACATCGGATGGACTCCATTAATCAAGGTTTCTTACTAGAACTCAAGGAAATCCGTTTTGAATCTAGTCACCGGTGAGCATGTAATTATTATCAGTACGGGAATTTGCGAAGATTGCAGTGTTTTCAATGCTGAAGTGTTTGCGCGACAGTGAGGGTCTTAGGGTCGAGTCCTGCGGGCTATCGTGGATGCGAACTGTAGTAGAGTCCGCTCTAGGATGAAACGACCGTCCAGTGCTTCCAGGTTTTCAATGGTGCTCTAGCTTAGATAGACGTTTTTAAAAACTTTTCTTCATGTACCTAGAGAACCCATTGTGACCTGCACAACAATCATAACATTCCCCTAACTGTATAATATTGGTTTGAGTAACACAAACTTTTCAGATCACCCTTCAAGACCTATTCAAAATTCAGGGAGTCGGAGGAGTAATTTGATGTATTTCAGTTTCCTGTGTTCTTTTTGTAACTGCTTAATTTAATTGTTTATGAATAGAACAGCTATTATGTCATAGCTATTTGAATTAGTTGACTCTAAGCTAATCATTAGTATGAA